TCGGGGCCGGATCCGCGGAGGGGGGCCGGGTCGGAGGCCTGGGCTTGGGGTGCTTTTAGCATTCCTCGGCGAAATCAGCTAATCGGGGTGCAGCTGTGTAGACCCTTTTGGTGGAGGGCTTAGGCCCCGAGTCCATTCCCCTTAGCTGGACTGAGACGAGGCCGCGCGCCGCCCTCCCTGACTATTTGGAGAAAGTTGTTTATCAGTGTTCTTCGCCCCTAGATCCTCCTTTTCCTCTTTTTGTTGGGATCCCCTGCTTATCATTTCCGGCTCTAATACTCCGCCTGGGCGGTGCTTTTAAATGCATTTTGGTTTGAAATCTGGGTGGAAGGTATCAAGCCCATCGTAGGTGGGCCTCTTGCTCGATGATGGTGGGTTTTCGGGGCTAAGTCTTAAAGAGCCCTGTTGGATTGTTACTGGGAAGCGTCGTCATAAAAAAAGAGATTCTTTTTTTTTTACTAGTTAAATGTTTGAAAAGTTGACCTAGTTAATATAAGTTTCAGATGAAAGTCTTTTAAACATAAAGGAAGGGAAGTTCTTGTAAGGGTAGATTTCGATTCTGCAAAGCTTTTTAAAGTGGCCGTGCAGGTAGGTACGATGCACAAATGCGTTTTGAATGGTGTCGGTTTATAGAGGGGTACGATTAATATAAGCGTCTAAATAAGAGTAAAGAAACTGGAACCTCAAATGGAGCTCTATCTAGTGGCTTGGAAGTGCTCAAAAATTCAACCAATCAGAAGGCCAGAAGTCGTTGACAGTGATGTGGTAATAAGATCCTAATTTTTAGACTTAACCATGTCCAACCTGGAAGTGGACAAGCAGCTAGAATACCTTGCAGTTCTCTTTGCTGTTGCTGAAAAGGTGAGTGTGACAGGATTAAGGGTGATGAGTTGAAAAGGATGAGGAGCCGGGCTTGGTGGCTCAGCCTGTAATCCCGTGCTTTTGGGAGGCTGAGGTGAGTGAATTGCCTGAGCCCGCGGGTTCGAGACCCGCCTGGGCAGCGAGACCTCATCTCTACAATAAATAAAAAAATCAGCTGGGCGTGGTAGCGCACACCTGTAATTCCGGCAACTTGGAAGGCTGAGGCGGAAGGATTGCTGGAGCCCAGCCGGTCGAGGCTGCGGTGGCCGGGAGTGTGCACTGCACTCCAGTCTGGGCGACAGAGTGAGACTCCAACTCAAAAAAAAAAAAAAAAGGATGAGGATATAAGTCCGAAGACAGGACATGATTGATTTCACATGAAAATTGTTGCAGATATGCACAGCTTTTGTATGCCTGAGCTCTAACCCTGGAATAAAATAAAGGAGTGCTTGAAACTGAATTAAGAAATTTTAGGGCAGATAAAAGGAAATACTCTTTTTATTGTGGTTCATAGGCCAGCAGACCTTCATGCCTGTAGAGATTGGGAGACTGGAATGTTTGAATGGGTCAAGGGTGCTAGAATCAATACGGCGTGACTCCCGGACCCTCAAGCTTGTAGAGCAGTGTCTTCCTGATTATACCTCTGCCACTCTTGGGTGTGTGATGGCTCTTAGTGCTCTTGCCAGGGAACACAGCTCCATGGGTTTGTATCTGTATGGACTTTTGTACCTGTGACATTTTTGCTTTTGTTAATTTGGGTTTTTTTGACTGAGCGTTCACCTCTGCTGTCATTTGTATACTTTCTTAGAAAAAGCTTGTGGCGAAGGGGGGCAAAAAAAAGAAGCAGGTTCTGAAGTTCACTCTTGATTGCACCCACCCTGTAGAAGATGGAATCATGGATGCAGCCAATTTTGTAAGTTATATCCTTACTGCCACTTGGGATGGGCATGAACCTTTTGAGATACTGTTGTGAAAGCCTATTGGAGTACATTCTGTTTTCAGGCCTACAGGCAACCTAACAGTTCTGGCTCTGTCATTTAACCCTGGGGATGTGGGCAGACTAATTTGTTTCTAAATCTTGCTTTCGCGTGCGTGTGTGTATGTGTGTGTGTGTATGTGTATACACAACAGTTGTGAGGAATACATGAGATGGGCTTAAACCAGAGCAGCTCTAGCACCTGGATGCTAGGGAACTACCTCCTCTCCTTTGGTTTCTTTTCCTTTCTCTTTCTCCACAGAGTTTCTCTCTGTCACCAGGCTGGAGTGCAGTGGTGCCATCATAGCTCACTGCAGCCTCAAGCTTCTGGGCTCAAGTGATCCTCCTGCCTTCCTCAGGCTCCCAGGTAGCTGGGACTACAAGCATATGCCACCGGCAAATTTTTATTTTATTTTTTGTAGGGATGGGGTCTCTTTATGTTGTTGTTCAGCCGTGCTTCTGGCCTCAAATGATCATCCTGCCTCAGCCTCCCAAAGTGCTGGGAATATATACCTGAGCCACCACCCCCGTTTCTTTATTTTCCAAAAATGATTTTACTCGGTAGTTACCAAAAGATCAATTTCATTGGGTCCAGCATCTCCCTTGCACTTTGGTGTGTGTGGGCATAAGTGATGGACCCTGATGCTGACTATGGGCTGCCTCTGCCCTGGGCCCAGAGCATTTGACACTTGGCAGCAGCTTCCAGTTATTAGGCATCTGGCTTCAGTATGGACTTTATTTTATTTTTTGAGTTGGAGTCTCACTCTCACTCAGACTGGAGTGCAGTGGCCGCTTCCGGCCACTGCAGCCTCGACCTGCTGGGCTCCGGCGAACCTGCCGCCTCAGCCTGCCAAGTATAGCTGGAACTACAGGCGCACACTACCACGCCTGGCTAATTTTTGATTTATTGTAGAGATGAGGTCTTGCCAAGTTGCCCAGGTGGGTCTCGAACCTGTGGGCTCAGGCAATCCACTCACCTCAGCCTCCCAAAGCGCTGGAATTACAGGCTGAGCCACGGAGCCTGGCTCATTGTGAACTCTAATGTCCTGCTTGCTGGGTTGTAATTGGAGCTTGGGTTTTTCAGACCTTGCTCTGTTCCAATTAGTTGGTCCCTGTATTTGGCTCATTCCCTGATATTCCTCTCTTTCAATCTAGAGCTGTTAACCCTTTGCATTCAGAGACATCTCACGGATAATCTACCAGCAACTCTACTGAACCTTTTCATGAAATAGTGGAAAACAAATCACTTTGTATTAAATAGTATAGTGTTGCAACCAGTTATTTTATTGTAATGATACTTGGCTTATAATGGAATTTTGGACATTGAGGAACTTATTTAGGACAAAAATCAAAATTCTTGCCGGGCTCGGTGGCTCAGCCTGTAATCCCGCGCCTTTGGGAGGCTGAGGTGAGTGGATTGCCTGAGCCTGCGGGTTCAAGACCC